AAGTTTGTCTGAAACTGACTTTCTTTTATTTTTTAATTCCACATTATTCGTAATTAAATATTATTATTTATTAATGATATGAAAAATTCTAAATCATTGCTCCACCTAAAATCAAAGAAATGAAAATTATTTATACATTTTAAGGTAAATTTAATGATGAATTAAAATATGTGTTAGAAATTCTGTCTAATTACTAGGATAGTCGGTACAATTGAAATAATATTATGATGGGTACATTTTGACACAGTAAATATACAGCTGGAATTTAATTCCTGTGTATTATTTCAAATTATTGTTTAAGAGAGASCGCAAAAATAAAATAATAAATTGCATAAATTGCAAAAACAAAAAATATAAATAAATTCGAATATTTTATCATCGTAAATATAATAGGTACCTTCAGAATTACCTATTGAAGAATATCTTTTTTTTTTGGAATTTCTAAGAAGTATCAAAACTCGTTGCCTATTTTTCCGTAATTAATTTTTTTTTTTCAAAAAAATGTCTCTTGATTATAAATATGAATTAGATAAAATTTGCTACTGGAAAATGGTTAGGTACWCAATTATAATGTATATACTAAACAAATTAGGTCTTCCGGTCGAAAAGTTATTCTKAAATWAAATAATAATAATACATGTCTAAACCATTAACCCATATAGCTCCTTAAAACCCAACTCAAATYCGGAAATCAATTCAATAACTTACATAAATATTATTATTGTTCCATATGAAAAAATAATTTACCACACATTAGGGAAWTTTTCTGTGACTATATCGTAAATAATAATATAATATGATAGATAATCAAAAAATACTGCATTCCATAATTATTATCATATTGTAATCACTTTTTTTTTTACCCAGTAACAATAAGTTCCTGGTCACATGATCTTACAAATTTTCTTAGATAAAATATCTAATCGATGAATTGGGTTGAATTCATATAGATTTTATAAATTTTTCAGTGGTGTATACTGTATAGTCTGTAGTCAGGATTTTAATTGAGAAGAAATGGCTGATAATTTGTTACGTATCGGGAAGCCTCAACTTAACGTTTTAGACTTTTGTAGCAAACAAAACTTACAACTTCAATTCATGGTCACGACTAATACGGAACTCTGAAAGTATAGTTTTTTTAAATTTTGGGGAGGATRTATAGTTTCCTTCTGCCACGACCATTTCCTTGTAGATACGACACAGAGTTATATTAGCCGATGTTATTATGGAAAATAAAAACGTGGCTGGATTGCCGACACCCTATTGTGTATATAATATAGCCAATATAGGTATTATTTTAACCTGCAGGGGCGTCATTTCAGGTTTTTTTCGGGTGTGCGAAGTTTCAAACAGGCCATTTTGATATTTCACCAGGCCATATAAAAATAGATTAGATATACATACGTATATGTATATTGTATATTATCCTGCATTCAATTATTTCCATACATTATAGACCG